GGCTAATTTTTGATTTATTGTAGAGATGAGGTCTCGCCAAATTGCCCAGGCAGGTATCGAACCCGTGGTCTCAGGCAATCCACTCACCTCAACCTCCCAAAGTGCTGGGATTACAGGCTGAGCCACTGAGCCCAGCTAAGACATAATTCTTATAAATAATTTTGATGTCAGTCAAAAGGTACAGGAGTTCAAAGAGAAAAACCATGGCTAATTCATTTATATGGTTCAAAAGTGGACCTCTACTATTTGCTACAGCAAAATAATTTAAACTAGAAGTTGTGGTACAGAAATACAATTTTTATGACCCTTTCCCCTGAAATTACAAAGTTACACATAAAAACATTTTAAATATCTAAACCACTAGCCTTACCCCATCAAATGAAGAATTTCCTCACACTGGACTGTGGGTGAAGTATTTTATTAAATTAAGAATGTCATTTGCAAATGGTTTCATAAGAAATTATCAAAGCAAAGTTATAAAACATTTTCGATAATAAAGTACAGAGTTAACAGCAAAATTACATTTTCTTCACAGTACAAATAAACACATTTTGCTTCTGATATGCTGTCTGAGTTTTATAATGTATTCTCCAACTGATAGCTGCAATACTGTATTTTAATGAGAGGTCTCACAGTTAATCCAACCATTTGTTAATAATAGGTGCATCATTTGGAACGTAAAAGTCAATTGCTCGACTTTAAGGAAAATAATAAACTTTTCATTATATAATGTAAAGTTATAAAAGGCTCTTCAGGCTATAGGCGTGTTCTAGCCTTGATTCTCTATTAAATTCTATAAAGAAGCATTAAGTAATACTGTAAACTTGAAGTACATTTTCAAAAATAAGCACCATTAACATACATTCTACATACACTTCGTTTATCTTTTAAATGACACTTTTTGGCCACACAAACATTTAAATCTGTTTTATTTATATGTAAATAAAAACAAACAATATTTAGCCATTACAGAAATATTATCAAATTTCACCTCATTGCACAATGGAAAAGCACTTAGAAAAAGCACTTGGAAGGCTGGGCACGGTGGCTCAAGCCTGTAATCCCAGCACTTTGGGAGGCCAAAGTGACAGGATTGCCTGAGTTCAGGTGTTCGAGACCAGCCTGGGCAACATGCTGAGACTTCGTCTCTGCAATAAATTAAAAAATGCGCTGGCCATAGTGGTGCATACCTGTAGTTCCAGCTACCTGGAAGGCTGAGGCAGAAGGATCACCTGAGCCCAGTAGGTCAAGGCTGCAGTGGCCGTGAGTGTGACCCTGCACTCCAGCCTGGGCGAGAGAATGAGACTCTAACTCAAAAAAAAAGAAAAAGCACTTGGAAAAAAACAGCACACATTACTTATATACTTATATATTCTGTCATTTTCTTAAATTGAGAGCAGTTAAAAACATTGTCAGAGCAATTTCCTGAGTTTCAAAAGTTTTCCATTTCCAGTTCAGAAATAAGCAATCTTGCTATTACATATGTCCCTTTCCTAAGCATACAAAACTTGAATTCAATAAGATAAAGACCCAAATAAAGACTGGAAACCTTCAGGCATGGTGGCTCATGCCTGTAATCCCAGCACTATGGGAGGCAGAGGTGAGAGGACTGCCTCAGCCCAATCCTCCTAGTTTGAGACCAGGCTGGGCAACTTGGTGAAATCTCATCTGTACAACAAATCAAAAACATTAGCCAGGTGTGGTGGCACACACCTGCAGTTCTAGTTACTTGGAAAGCTGAGACAGAAGGATCACCTGAGCCCAGCAGGTCAAGACTGCAGTGGCTGAGCGTGCCACTGCCCTCCAGCCTGGGTTGACAGAGTGAGACTCCAACTCAAAAAAACCCCAAAAAACTGGAAACCACCCAGAAGAATAGTATAACTTTTTTTTCTTGAAATGTGTTATACAAGACAATTTAAAGTCACAACTTTTACTGTATAATATGTCCTATACTTAAAGGCCATAGAATTGCAAAGAGCATGAAAATACTAATAAATTGGCTGGTCTCGGTGGCTCAGCCCGCAATCCCGGCACTTTGGGAGACCGAGGCGAGTGGATTGCCTGAGTCCACGGGTTCGAGACCCACCCGGGCAACTTGGCGAGACCTCATCTCTACAATAATCAAAAATTAGCCAGCGTGGTAGCACACACCTGTAGTTCCAGCTACTTGGAAGGCTGAGGCGGAAGGATTGCTGGAGCCCAGCAGGTCGAGGCTGTGGTAGCCGGGACATGCCACTGCACTCCAATCTGGGTGACGGAGTGATACTCCAACTCAAAAAAAAAAACTAAACTAAACTAAACTAAAAAATTGAAAAAACTTCAACTGGAAAATAATATAGAGATATTTGAACAGTCAATATAGGTTAAAAAGAAACCCATGCTTTCTCACACTGGAATAAAGAGATGAACGGACTAGGAACCCTGCTAAGAGTCCCCCTGGTCCACTTGTACAACCCCCATGGTTCCTACATTAATTCTCTTTTTTTCCTCTGGTAGAAACCAGCAGTAAGAAACAATCGAATGGCTACAATTAATACTAAAGCCTTCCAAAGTATACAAGTGCTGAACTTTTAAAATATTAAAGTTTACAAAGAGCCATTCTAATGTGTCATGTATTGACCCAAATTTACATACCTCTACTGAGTGTCCCTTATCTCAAAGGCTTAAGATCAGATGTGATTTGGATTCTAATTTTGGGGGATTTTGGAATATCTGTGTTACACCTTGTGGCTGAGCACCCCAACCTGCAAATTTGAAATCTGAAATGTTCCATGAGCTTTCTTCCTTTGAGTGGCATGTCTGATTTTAGAGCATTTCAGATGTTGAGTTTTCAGATGAGGGATATTCAGCCTGTTCCAATACATGAAAACTTGGATAGTCTCCAAGCTCTCTTTGACATATAGTATTGAGAAATGGGTAAATAACTCTTCTTTTGTAATTATGTGTTGCTCAAACCATCCTAGACAGTAAGAGGCAGTTTAGAATTAAGCAACTTCATAAAAACACACATGATGATCAAACTCTGCCATTATGTATGAATAATTATTAAGAAATATCATTGGATTTACCAAGATAAGGCCTAACGTTGAAGTTGATACAGTATAAAGCATAGCTTCTTTCATTTGGTTTCTGCCCACAGAATACCACATCTCTATTTCTTTTGACTGCTCCCTCATTAATCATAATTACAATAATATTAAAGTAACATTCAATTAGCTGAAATGCCCCAAAGTGATGCTTTTTAAAACCAGATAAGGAAATATAAAAACATAGAAAATGAGTATACAGCTGCACCCAGGCCAACAACTCCAGGGTTTAGTATTGTTTCGCATACTCTTAAATCACATTAATTTATCCATAGGGATATTCTACTTCATTGACAGTCACAGTTGATCATAAACGACTGAAAATAATGGTTTTATTTTTAATGTATACAACTCTTCTAGAGACTACAAAAGGGTGCTAAACTGCCGGCATTTTAAAACAAATTACTACAAACATAAGAATGTGAATAATACAATAACAGTCACTAACCATTTCGTAATAAACATATATTCTTATTTGTATGGAAATAAAATTCAACGATAAGGTTCTTTATCTGAAAGCACACTTTCATTATGTATAAAAACATGTGTTTTGGTCGGGCGTGATGGCTCGTGCCTGCAATCCCAGCACTTTGGAAGGCCGAGGCAAGAGGATTGCCTGGGTCCAGGGGTTAGAGACCAGTCTGGGCAACTTGGCAAGACCTCGTCTCTACAATAAATAAATAAAAATTAGCCGGGCGTGGTGGCGTGTACCTGTAGCTCCAGTTACTTGGAAGGCTGAGGTGGAAGGATCACCTGAGCCCAGCAGGTTGAGGCTGCAGTGGCCGTGAGCATGCCACCGCATTCCAGCCTAGGCGACAGAGTGAGACTCCAACTCAAAAAAAAAAAAAAATGTGTTAAGTTTCCGTTTCATTAAAAAGTTTGCTCTTTGGGGAAACCATTCTGCATTTCAAGATTCTTTCAGCACCAGCTCTATCCTGCAACTTCCTATCCAAATGGTTTCTTAGCTTAGCAAAAAGCAAACAACTGTTTGCTGAAATTACATATGTAGAAAATACTCTCCATATCCAAGATAAAATTTATGTACATCATTGTCTCACAGTGGAAAATTATACTTTACATTAAACCTGTGTAAAAGAGATTATCATTTACATACTAACAGAAGTCAATGAGAACTTCTTTCCAGAAAGCTGGCTCTTTTTCAAAATAAAGGGGGAAATCTTTTAAATGGCAAGGATTTCTTTTAGGATTATATCCAAAATGTTTTCTACGTTTGTTTTAAGTTCACAGAACTTTGACCTACTAGAAATTACATGCCTCAAATATAAAATATAGCTACTTAGGACTGTCTGAAAGGTCACTCATACAGACCATTCGAGGAGCAGTTCTATAAGGCAGTATCACTTGGTAGATACTTAATCATTTTTCCTCCTCAGAAAACCTTTCTTGCCTATGGAAGGTATAAAAACTGCAATATAAGCTCAGATCCAACTTTCCTCCCATAAAATGCACACACAGAAGAACAAAGCAGAAGAAAGTGAACAGCGTGTCTTCCTTCCTGTAGGACATGGTGGAGCAAAACATGTGTTTAATTTTGAAAGCAAGATGTTCCCGAGTATTTCTGTTAGATACTCTTTTTTTCTTTACCAGGACTACAGCTACTTTTTCTTCTTTTAATACAATTCTTTGAAGGACATGAACTAGGCCTCAAAGCACTTTAAATACCTCTCCTAGAAACTTTTAAGACTTTACTAGATATCAACCAACAATTAATACAAAGGCAACATTTCAGAGACACAGAACTTTAAACTGCAGCAGATAATTTTTTAGACATTCTGTCATCAATAAAAATCCTCGTTAATATTTTTAACAGATAACATATTTGGCATTTGCTTCCATAAAAAATTAAACTTTTCTTAAATTTTGAAAACCATCATAACTCTGTTTCACAAACAAATATTATTTCTAATAAAACACACGCTTCAAGTAGAACTGACTGAATTATTGCAAATAAAGCTAATTTTAACCTACCAAGCTTCACACTTCTAAGTCAAGGACGCTTATATTACGTTAGCATGATTTTCAAGCACCCTGACTTAATTTCAGAGAACCTGCAGAAATGAGAGAAGAATTATTTTAAAGACAAAAACTTCACAACCAGCTAAGGAATAGATCTTGTCAACAATTCCAATTACCCATGCTTATTATAATATTTACCATCAAAGTACAATCCTTGATTATATCAATATTATGACCCTCTTAATCTATTGTCAAAACAAACACAATCGTAAAGCTGGGTGGCTCCTGAGTTAGTTGTTAACATAATTTAAGATTTGTCGGAGCCTCTCACGCCTGAATAAGGAATAAGATGCTGTTGGTATGACAGTGTTTCTGTGAGCTGAGAAAGCACCAAGAAGAAATCTCAGCAGTAGCAAGTAAATCTGATGAATCTGGCCCCGCAATGCCTGCAACTCCCTCAGTGCAACGTTTCAAGGAACACTAGTCTCGATAATAGAAGATTAATAACACCATGATGAAGTTCTGGTCTAACGACTCCTTTTGACGAAATAACCCTGAAGCATCAACTCATAATTAATGCTACTATTTCTCGTAACGTAGCCAAATGACACTTCCTGACATGGCATGAACTAAATATGCAACACTAGCTAAAACTGGAAGGGGCGAGGGCCAGTGACACGCAGTCTCAGGAATGCTACCACCAACAGATCTCCCATCTTTGACTTTTCTTGTCCTTTTCTGTTACTAAATAATGGCCACTTAATGCAAAAGGACAGTTCGTGTCTGTCAGCAAAGATTCTTTTATGTAAAAAATACATAATATATAAAAACAAAGCCGGGCTCGGTGGCTCAGCCTGTAATCCCGCGCCTTTGGGAGGCTGAGGTGAGTGGATTGCCTGAACCCGCGGGTTCGAGACCCGCCTGGGCAGGGAGACCTCATTGCTACAATAAATCAAAAAAAAAATCAGATGGGCGTGGTAGCGCATGTCTGTAATTCCGGCTACTTGGAAGGCTGAGACAGAAGGATCGCCGGAGCCCAGCAGGTCGAGGCTGCGGTGGCCGGAAGCGGCCACTGCACTCCAGTCTGGGCGACCGAGTGAGACTCCAACTCAAAAAAAAAAAAAAAAAAAAATATATATATATATATATATATATATATATATATATATATATATATAAACATGCAAATTCATATTAACTGGAGCATTTCTGCTAACATTTAAACACATCCAAATTATAAATATCTTTCAGCAGAAGGTGCCCGATTCCATCCAAAATCCACAAATGTATACTTCCTTTCAAAAGAATAATGAAACAGCAAATCTTAAACTGTGATACACGTGATCTAATGATCTTAGATAATACATTATCACAGAAACACAAGTATTAGAATTTCAGTATTCGTGTTCAGTATTAGAATTTTAAATTCATGATAGAAAGTTTGATCTGATGATTACTGACACACATTTTTTTATATCTGGGTTACTAGACAACATAAACCCAGCAAGGAAAGTTAGATCATAATTCAAGCATGAACATGTGGCTGAAATCAGATGAAAAGGGGTGAACTGCTAAGAGATGGTGCTGAGCCTGCTATTGGTGTTAGTTTCCGAGCCATGAGGGCAACACTATGGAAATGCCACTCACCTGATGCTATGGCTTAAGAGGTAATGGACGACGGCTACCTTGATGCGGGCGACGCCTCCCAGGCTGTGGGACCCTCTCCCCGTAATCACAAACAGATAGGGCTTGCCGCCACTCCGCTTAAACTCTGTTGCAACAGAAATGGGAACCGCTGAAATGCATGTATCATATATTCTCAACAGAACACAAACCTAGGCCAGGTGTGGTGGCTCATGCCTGTCATCCCAGCACTTTGGGAAGCAGAGGCAAGAGGACTGCCTGAGTCCAGGGGTTCGAGAATAGCCTGGGCAACTTGGCAAGACCTCGTCTCTATAATAAGTCAAAAAATTTGCCAGATGTGGTGGTGCCCACCTGTGGCCCCAGCTACTTGGGAAGCTGAGGTAGAAGGATCACCTGAGCCCAGCAGGTCAAGGCTGCCGTGGCCATGAGCATGCCACTGCACTCCAGCCTGGGCGATGGAGATTCCTACTCAAAAAAATAAAAACAAAAAACAAAAAACAAAACACAAACCATAGCTATTCAAACAAATGAACTTGTTATCATAAAGCCCCAAAGTTAATGCTTTAAAATGTATGTTTTAAAACACACATAGCTTCGTTGTAATCCACCCATCCAAAAACTGAAGTGTGACTTCTTTTGCCTGAGGGGAGGGAGATTTCTGTGCATGACCAGACATTCCCTCTGATGTAATGATAATGACAATATTAACACTAATGATAGTTAATAATTAGTACACATACGGAATAAAGCTCTGCTTTAAATCAGTTATATTTATTAACTAAAAATTTTCACAACAACTCTATTAATTAAATACCCGGAAGCCAGCCAGCTTTGTTCTGAATCTCAGCTCTGTTACTAGATGACTGTGTGACCGTGGACAAGTTACTCAGCCTCTCTGTGCCTATTTCCTCATTAGGAAAGTGGGAGACTAAAAGCAACTCCTTCAGAGACTATCCTCCAGAAACAGTGATTAGCAGACATGAACCACTGCAACTGGCCTCGCCATTTCTACAGAGCCCAGGTTTGGTTCTCCAGCATCACACACACAGACACAATCAGCATTCCACTTTGGCTCATTAAGGTGCCCTCGTGTTCCAGCAGAACCACAGACAGATGGTTTCCAAGTATTGCATCCCTAGGGTGACATTTAGCCTGGGACTCTACCAAAAAATGCGGCTCTTGCATTTCCAATTCCCGAGCTTTGTCTAAGACGTCCATTTCCACTCGAAGTCGCATCCAGGGCTTCAGGCCGTATGTTGCTCAGAGTTCAGCTCTCTCTGGAGCTTGCTGCACATCAAGATCACTTTGCAAAATGATTTGCACTACACACTTACAATTGTGTGCACTGTTCCTTATGGATGTGATATTATGATATTATGACTAAAAGTATACTTCATATATTATATATATAATTTTTAGTATACTTCATATATTATAT